CAGGATTTTTACAAGACAATCGTGGAGTATTTGTTGAAAACGGAATCTAACCGACGATGGGGGATTTAAGTGATCCGTAGTGTGGCTGGTTAAATTTCATTCTGCCCCGAGTTGTCTGGTTGGATATCGGCCTCCGTTTGCCAACGACTCTTTTTTTATTCCTCGCCAAGGCATACGCGTGTATCTGCACGTGGTTCACGAAGAGAATTGTTCTCTCCATAGTCAGAAAATATAAATCGAATTTGGGCCTTTTAACATTCTCTACTGTTTGCTCTACGCTACGTGCTCCGATTTGGAGTACCGCGTGTGTGTTTCACGCCAATATACTCGAGAAAAGTGTACTTCAACGTGTTACATTTATTGGAGGTTATTTTCAAACTCTTAACTTAACCTCTGCTTCGGAACTAAATCGAACTTTCAATCTTCGCACGCTGTCGTGTAACACATTGATGCTGTTGTCCGATGAATAATAACGCGGACGACGATCGAATGCGCCGTTCTCATGACAATGGGGAACGTGTGTCGCGTCTGAGTAATTGTTTACCGCATTGGTGAAAGAGGGAGATTCGATTTTCCAGCGTAACCGATCGCTTATATTCTCGGAATTCTAGCGCGGCATTCCATCGAATTGACGCGTGACTAAGGGAACCACCGCAGCTCGGTTTTTCCACGGTGAAGAACACCATATTCAACGTGAGATTGTTGGTTAGTTTTCCTCCGATTTAAGGCCCTTGGTAATAGAACAAATGAAAATGTTATATCGAACGATCAAAGTTAATACGATCTTACCTAAATGTTTCTTCTGGCGTCGTGGCCCACACCCTGTTCAAGACTAGATCAACTGTCACCCGTAACGCCTACGATCGCACACAGCCTTTTAACACGACACACTGCTTCACGACACCTGCCCGCTTCGATCTTTATTTATTTCGTGAACGCGAAATGGGCGAGTCGTCAGAACCGTCCTCTGACCGTGATTACTGCATGAATGCTTCATGTACGTCATGCCCTGAGAAGCTTGCGCCGCAATGCGAACTACCGCACACTGCCACCTGGTTTGAAGAGCGTACTAGGGCTTTTAGTTCTCGCAATATCCAGTCATACCAGCGCGCAGTAACTTTTTGTTTCCAGTCGGTATTTTTCATCTTTTTACACCTCGGCTTTTCAACTTCCTGCGATCAAGGTGTCCTATATAACTTTTTTTGTTTTATACGAATTTATTGTAAATTTTCTACTCATCGAATAGATTTTATTTTACTACGTTATACGGCCATGAATTATGTTCGAACTCCGTAACTTGCTCGAGTTACGAATTATTCGATCTCGTTATGATTGCTATAGTAGAAATATATTCACAATTATGTGTGTATTTGTAATGATATTTTATTTTCGTTTATAAACAAAAACGTTCTACGAGTGTATTTTTACGACTTGAACTTTTATTTACTTGCAACGTGTTGACGAATTCAATTGGACAAAATAAATACTAACCAATAGCAATTTTTCAAATAATTTCTTGATTATTAAATCTAAGAAATATGTTAAAAATACGTGTATCGTTGTTACAATTTTGAAAAAATTAATAATTATCCATTTGTTGTTATATACGTCAAGTTTGAACAAATACGTGAAATATTTATTTTGGACTATACCTTTCCAATCTAAAGAAGCAAGAATTACGTGGATGCAAAGCAAACGTACACGATTGTTTCATTTATTTGTTAATATTGTGGATTGGCTTTCTAGCAATACTGTCTTAGTTTATTATTTTGTATGTGAAAATTAATATTTCACGTGAACATAAGTCATTTCTACGGACAGCTATCAAGTTCTATTATTTTGTTATTTCAATGGAATCAATTTGAATAATTTCAACACAGAATTGTTACTTCGAGAAAGTTGATAATATTTGTATTTAATAAATTTTTCCGGAACAGCAATATGGCAGATGATAAAAATGAAGATACAAAAAAGGAGAACTCTGAAGAAAATAAAGATCAGCGACAAACGATAGCTGTGGAGGAACGTTCGGAATATTTTAAAAAATTAGAAAAATGGTTACATGAAGCTTATGCATGGCAGAGCATGGCTGCAATGTTTCCATATTATTTAATGTCCGGACAAATAATAAATCCATCATCTGGTAAGATCATAGTCAAAATGTTATCATCTCATAAACCATATAATTTACAAATTACATATAAATTCAGTGTGTAACAAAATTATTCTATAAAATAGAATAATTATAGGTATACCATCATTCTCATCACAAGTATCAAATGTAGCAAATACACATAGGTTAATTATTGGCACAAATGGCCAGGAGAACGATCCAGTCAGACAAAGAAGGCCGCAAGACCATGTAGGACCTCCATTTCAACCTCCTGGAGCTGAAGGTAGAAGGTCATAACGATATCTCCTGTGTCCATCACATTCCAACAGAGGTTCAGCTAGTACTATATGTGCTTTTATTACAAAAGTACTGCATTTTATATAATTACTTTTGAGATGTTTAGCTAATTTATGTGTCATATAATGCAGTATTTTTGGAACATACATTTCATCTGTATCATTTAACATCATGATTGTCTTGTCTATTAAGATTTAAGAAAATAATTCTTTCAGGTTTTGAATATCGTATACCTCCAATATGGAAGAGATTTGTAGCAGAGTTTATAGATTCAACAATGTTGTTTCTTTTGAAGTTTTCCATTACTTTCATTGCTATTGATGTTTTTGATTTCATGTATGTAAAATTCCTCTTTACCTTTTTGTAACTTCATCTTTCTTTGACTTGTCATCATTCTATTTTGTTCTAGAGATATAGATGATCTAGACTTGGTACGGACAAACTTGAGAATTGATTATAAAATGGCTTTGGAAATGACATACGGTATATTAGTATTAGAAATAATTCATCGTGTGATAGTATGCATTTTTGAGGTATGTATACCATTACCAGGTAATAACATGAGTTAATGTTCAATGAAACATCTTTTAGGCATTTTGGCTTCAACATGGTATAAACGGTCGTATTGGTGGTGCAACACCTGGTAAATCCATGATGGGATTAAGAGTAGTTCAATGCCGTAATGTTATACCTGTTGATAGACCTGATGATCCTGATGTTGTACTCGTTTCACCGGGGACAGATTTAGGTTTACCATTAGCACTTGGAAGATCAGTTGTGAAGAATATGATTTTAGCATTTTTGTTCCCTATATGCTTTGCCTTATTTTTCTTCAGGTTTAACAGAACTGTTTATGACCTACTTTGTAATTCTATTGTGGTTGAAGATCCTTATAGAAACTTAAATAATAATAGACTTCACCAACAATAAAAAAAAAAATCAAAGAATCAGTTATACCTACATTGTATATATTGTATGTGTGCATGAGCGTATATAATATGTACATATTCAAATCAAATATCGCAAAGTACGAAGTATTTTTCTAGATGTACTGCGGAAAATCCTACAATTTCTGGATTTTACTAGCTATTTGAGTAACAATACTATCTGGAGACTTATAATTTTGAAATTGTATAGATTTTATCCAATGCAGTTACTAATAAAACATTTTATAACTTATTTTCAAGCGTTGTGAACCCTCATACATACATCAACAATTTTCCAATAATTTAACATATTTATTTTTCATATGTCTGAATTTTGTGAAATGTAATATTTTTATGTAAATTTCTCTGTAGGAGAACGTTCTACGTATTTTAAATTTCTTAGCGCCATCTGGGTAATATGACTTGAAACTAATAAGACTAACAACTAACCAATGACGTCACTTCCCAGTTAAACGTGGCTGCCTTGCGAGTGAAGGAAGGAGTGGCTTTGCGATCTGTCAAGTTAAATGATTTCTCGTGAAAATTAATGACTTGTTGCATTAATTAAGTTATTCTCGTGTGTTTAGTACTTATAATTCATCGTTCAGTAGTTCTTATATACAAGAAAAATGTCGTCTTCGGGTGATTTTGGAAACCCGTTGCGTAAATTTAAGCTTGTCTTTCTCGGTGAACAGAGCGGTATGTATTTTCCAGATATACTTCCGTCGATTTTGGATCAATATTTGTCACGTATGTGTCCGTTTTATCTTGCTGATGATTTCTCATGAATCAGATATGACAGTTTCTGTCGTACGAATCGGTTTCAATGACCGTTTTAGGTTATAGATCAATATTTCTGGTCACTGTCCAACTTTATCGTTGCGATCGAATTTGGCGTCGTTCTTGTTATCACTGTTAGCAGCATTTAGTTTCAATATGATTTTGTGTATACCTCATTATAAAATCCCACTATTATCACAAAAATATCCATTAAAATTCATAATTTATGTATTTAATCTCGTACCGTTATTTTTATATATTTGTTTCATCTTAAAAGATTGCAGAGGATATCAGTATACGGCACTATTCTATGATTTAATCACTGATTTAATTAATTTTTATTTTGCCCAAGAAGGAATAGTAGCCTTATGAATTTATATCTTTACTAGTGCCTGCAATGTGATTTAAATTTATGATAATTTATATATGGTCTGAAAGGATATTAATTTATCCTATAAAGGATATAAATTTACCTATGTCTGAAAGGATATTATACATTGATTTTTTTAAATACACAATAGTTTTTGCATTAATCGTGTGATTTGATGTTGCAGTTGGAAAAACTTCTCTTATCACACGGTTTATGTATGACAGCTTTGACAACACGTATCAGGTATGAAATTATTGGTTGTGTGATACATATATATCTATGTATATGTTATAAAATTTATATACTTTTTTAAATAAATGCACAAAAAGGAATATAACCTGTTATAAATAACAAATTGGATTGTATAATATTGATTAAAATATGTTATTTTATAAATGCTTGAGTATACATTATGAATATATAAATGAGGAATGTAACAGTTTTTAAATTTTCTCTCTTTTATCATACAACATACACTTCAAATTTCTGAGATCATTCATATTTTGATATACTTTTCAATGATTTTATGAAAATGTTACAAGTTTTTAGTTTCATCTTTCATTTTATTCATTTTACTTCATTTTATTTATAATTTTTATAAGAAATGCATTTTTATTATATAAAATGACCAATGTCAATTATCATGCATAAATATTAGTAGAAGAGAAAGAATAGGGAAACCAATTTATTGACTTTTTATAATAGACATTATCATGCATAAATATTAGTAGAAGAGAAAGAGTAGAGAAATCAATTTATTGACTTTTTGTAATAGACAGAAAGAAACAAGATATAAGATTATTATCACAAGATACGGATAGGACTATTTTGTAAATACATTAAGATATGAAATTTCAAATATACAATTCTAGTTAAAGTAGTTAAGATATAGCAAAATAAAGATGTTTTATATATAAAATTGCAATAAAATATTATACTGTTTATTACAGGCTACAATAGGTATAGATTTTTTAAGCAAAACTATGTATCTGGAGGATAGGACTGTAAGATTACAACTATGGGATACTGCAGGCCAAGAACGGTTTAGATCTTTGATACCTAGTTATATCAGAGATTCTACTGTTGCAGTAGTGGTATATGATATTACTAGTAAGTTTAATTTGAAATAAATGAATGAAATAAAGTGTTAGCTGTGTTATGTTACATCACAGTTTAAGTGAATTATTTACACAGATGCAAACTCATTTCATCAAACATCAAAATGGATTGATGATGTAAGGACTGAAAGAGGAAGTGATGTAATTATTATGTTAGTGGGTAATAAAACTGATTTGGGTGATAAAAGACAAGTATCAATGGAAGAAGGTGAACGAAAAGCTAAAGAGTTAAATGTGATGTTTATTGAAACTAGTGCTAAAGCTGGATATAATGTGAAACAGGTAAGCTGTTTCTATTACATAATAGACATTTCTTACTCTACTAGATAAAATTATAATATATTAATCATATTTTATTCATTTACTAGCTTTTTAGAAGAGTAGCAGCAGCTTTACCAGGCATGGATTCCACTGAAAATAAACCACCTGAAGATAGTATCCTTTGCGTAAGATACATAATGTGCACATTTGCATGGTACATATATATAATCATATTTCAGAAATTTTTCTTTCCTGAAATACAGTACCAAGAACATATCCCATATCCTTAATCTTTATTTTGTTTTTATTTATTACATACTGTTGTCATTATAATCTTTTCTTATTTTACAGAAATTTCATTGATTATTTAAATTTTAGCTATATTTTATAATAATATTTTATGCAACTTTTAAGATAACAAAATATGTATGTCATATAATTTTAAACTTTTTTATAACTATTATTAATTTTCTAAGATTCATTTATTATTTTTACTATTATTTTTTAACATTGATAATTTCAGTTTTTTCCGTTATCTTTTTGTGTTTTCCTTAATGTGTAGCTAAACCTGTAGTGCAAGAAGTAGTTCTGCAGGACACACCAATTGAACTGAGAGCATCGGAGAGCAGTTGTGCATGTTAAACCACCGATCAGCCTAATGGTAGACAAGACATTGATCTAAGTTAATTTATAAATTAAACTTTCAATGCTAGGACAGTGATGTTCAGTCCTGTGTTCTTTTCCTAGTTTACCATATGGAAAGGAACAGTACTGTACTGAAGAGCTGTACTGATTTTTTGTGAAAAAAAAGAAAAAAAAAAGAAAAAAATAAATATCTCACGGTAGCTTAAGCAGACTGCTTTTACACAATGACGTGTTTGTGTGTACTAGTAAATCATCAACATAATCCAATTCATTTAAACTCTTGTACTTCATCAGAGCCGCTTGCTTTTTTAACGTCTCGTTAATGATCGTCATTCTAGATAGTGCTTAAATTTTTTTCTTAATCAGAAAATAATTTTTATAACAAATATTTTATTTGTCACGAATATTTGTAATTTTAAGTAATGAATTTTTTTTTATATTTTGCATTCTGACAAAAAAAGAATTTGTATGAGATACTAGTCGTATGCATGATCAGTGCTGCAATTGCATGATAAATGGTGCACTTATATATATATACATATATATTTATCATCATGTATATATAAGTTGCAATACGGGATAAACTAATAGTGATACCATAGAATTACGTATTGCGTAAATGCAGTCAAAATAATAGTCAACTACGATTCGTTATCAATTTGAACTGGTTGCAAACGCGAGCAATAAAACTTTTATATATTTATGGATACATTTGATTGAAATGTGAACCGAGTTATTATAAAATCGTATAATATGTACCTGCGAGCGTACTATAAATGAACGTAACAGAAAAAATAATTTCAACGATGCAACAAAATTAGTAGTTTATGATATCTCATTTTTTATAAATATTTTAAGAAACTATTGCTCATGTATAATGGTTTTCCTTGACTCGGAACAATCACTGCATAAATTAATATACTGCATTTCCTATTGAAGTATTATTTATATACTTGGAACTGAATATTTCGTTTATATACATATACAAAAAAAAGTGGAAAAAACTTAGATAGAACAAGTCATTTTCAAAAACATTGACAAAATCGGATTTGTACATATTAACTTAAAATTTGGGATGTGGATAGACAGAATGCTATTATACCTAATACTATGACATTTTTGTTAATAATTATTGTAATATTTTAATTTATATAAAAAAAACATTTAATAGTATTATTATTTTTTTATACTGATTTTTTACGAACCATAATTTTTTTTTGCTATTTTTTTCCTTGTTATACATATTTCCTTATTTTATGATCACTGTAAGACTTATTTTTAGTCCTATGTTTAATTTTAGGGTTTATATACATGTAGGGAAAATAGAGGGAAAGTATACTCTTAAGGTCTATTGATTTGAAAATTTAAGAAATATAAAAAATAGCTCTATTGCATATTCTTGTCTTTAAAATGATTACATATAAAAGTTCCGTCGTGAAAAACTTTGCTCTAATAGTGAAGTAACGTGAAATCTATGCAGAGATAAAATAAAAAGTAAGTCGAAGTAAATCAAGTATTATTGTATATGGCATTAAATGAGGCAATTGTGTTACTATGCTGTTTAAAATTCATTAATCTTTCTTAATTTTTTTTTGGATAAACATGTTTATCTTTTATATCTGCAAATACTTATGCTGTCGACATCTTTCAAGTTCACAGCAAATGCTTGATGAATTGTCAATTATGATGTGAATACATTTTTCTTTGTTTTCGACTTAATTGAACGAGAAATATAGCAATTTCATTTATAAGTTGTTATTACATGGTGCTAATTTAACATACTCTTATATAACTTTGATCATACAAAAGAATAACATCTCTACAAATAAAGTATTATTTGTCTGATTTCAAAAATAATAATTTTATTCGAGAAATGTTAAAAATTCAAATAATGACTATAGATAATGTACTTAGTTAATAAATAACAGATGATAAGAGCTGATAACAGTTTGTGACGTATTCACTGAAACAATCGCTATTAGTGCTATTTATAGTATAACAAAAAATAGTATTTTGCCTCTATTTCCCCTAATGATAATAATGCTTTGTATCATACCGTGAAGATGTGAGAATAACACTCATTGTATAATTTTTAATTAAGGTGCTTTGTGGCTGTAAAATTTCACTGTTATTAATGTTAGGGAATGTTCCGTCCCGATTTTAAAATATTTAAATTTTATACGCTTTTTAAGTATACAATTTATTCTAGCTTTCGGGAAAAGAAAAGTATATGCTGAACTCAAACTTTAATGGGACTAAATTTTCGATTGATATTAAGAGAATCGTAAATCGTATACACTTCGTAAAGTTTTTGTAAAATTTATTTAATATAATATATGATTACTCACTAAACTGCCTAAACACAAATCGTTCAGAGCTATTAATACGATTTTTTTGAGGCCTAACGTCCTCTTAGAATTTACACGTATTTATAAGATCAATACGAGAATTAGTCGACATGCTGGTCCTTTTTTTTTTTTTTTTTAAATTAATTAATAGTTGAATATTAGCGGCAATTG